GCCAGTCCCGGTCCGGTACGGGGGCGACACTGAGGGTTGCGAACCGTTGCCGGACACGGAAAAAGACAAAAAAAAAAAAAAGAAATACTTAACTCAACTTTGATTTTCTTAATGCAAATTAAGGAGATTGTAGTTACTGACTAAAAAGGCAGTGACATCTATAGGTATCTTGATACATTTTTGTTGAATTGCCCTCTGGAAACCTACTTGTTTGCACACACCTTAGCAAAGTATCAACTTCTGTTTCACCATACCTCCTCCACTGTTAACTTTAAAACATGTATGATGTGTTAAATAATAGTGAAAGAGAATGTCTCGTTTTTATTCCCTTTCCTTTTATTACATTTGAGGTTGGACATACATTATCATGGTGGTTGATCCATAATCTTGAGAACTTTTTTTTTTTTTGCGGCTGGCCAGTACAGGGAACGAACCCTGGACCTTGGCATTATCAGCACCATGCTCTAACCAACTGAGCTAACCAGTCAGCCCCAAGAATATATACATATATATTGGTTGAAACATAATTGATTGTACCTATTTGTGGAGTACCAAATTGAATATTAATACCTGTGTGCAGTGTGATGCTCAAATCAGAATAATTAGTATATTCATCATTACACAATTTAATCAATTTTGTGACCCTTTACCAATTTCTTGCTACTCCCTCCACCCCTTTCCCACCTCTGTTGACCTCAGAAGAATGTATTTTTTTTAGCAAACTTGCTTAAGACAAACTACCTGTGACACTTCACATGGACTCCATTGCATTGGCATCTTCATAGTTGTATTAATTCTCAGCCTCCTAGAATTCATTAAGGGAACTTCTTATAATGAAGGAAACTGTTTATTATAATAAAGAGCCCAGGCTTCTTCATAAGACCAATTCCAAGCCCTGCCGTTTAGTCTTGAGTAACTCTAAAGAGGTTACTTAACCTAAGTTTCAGTTTCCTTGACTGTAAAACAGGACTGATGCTCCTTGCAATAATTCTCACAATAATGAGAAGGGAATTATTCAAGCTTTCAATAGAACGTAGCCACTATTAATAAACGAAAAATGTTTCTCTCCTAATTGCAAGATAGACCCAATAGATATATTAAGGTACAACACTCATAAGCCAGAACTTTGCAAGTCCCAACAAGTTGCATGTTTCACTTTATTATTTAAACTTTTACNCCTATGTGGTCATTCTAAGGTCATTACAAGAATTTGGCTTTCCTTTAAAATGTGCTTGTATGTCCACCTAACTCCCTAACAATTTATAAATATAATGTAGATTCTTTTTCAAAGAGTAGTCTTTCACTGAGAACTCAATTCTTTGTATAATGGATTTTTGAGAGTGAACATTTTTTCAAGATTTTTTTAAAGTTTCACATTTTAGCTTGTATCTATAGTCTTCCACACTGAGGATGTGAATATGATCTATACTAGCTGTTCAGCCAGGATGACCAATTTGACTGCCAGATGGGTTGTTAGTAATGCCAGAGGCATCCTGACATCACTCTCTGAACTGCTTTCTTTTTCACATTCTTGTGCTCTCCCAGCTGACGGCCCACAGGGTGGGTGCCGATTCCACCAGCAGCTGCAACTGAAAAGCAAGGTTCAGAAATGTCAGACATCCTCCGGGAGCTGCTCCGAGTCTCTGAGAAAGCTGCCAACATTGCCCGGGCGTGCAGGCAGCAGGAAACCCTCTTCCAGCTGCTGATCGAAGAAAAGAAAGAGGGAGAAAAGAATAAGAAGTTTGCAGTTGATTTCAAGACCCTGGCTGATGTTCTGGTACAGGAAGTTATAAAACAGAATATGGAAAACAAGGTAATTGCAAAATATTTACCCCTGTGGCTTTTTACTCCTCATAGAATAACATGTCTTTTACTCCCCCACCCCTCCTCCCCCAGAATACTAGCACCTTTGATTCAAATAAACATCTTGGGGGGTTTCCCCCCTTGTTTTGATTACAATGTTAATAAAATGTTTATTGCAGGAGATTTTTAAAATACATAAAAGCAATTAAGAAAAAAGTTACTCACAGTTCTAACACCTACAGATAAACATTTTGGTATATAACTTTTCATTTATTAATGAGTTTCTTTTTAATAAATAATACATGTTCTTTGAAAAATAAGCAAAAATAAGAATC